CACCCTGGAGGGAAGCTTAAAGGGAAACTCACCCCCGCCTTGTGAAGGGCTGTGGGAATTACCCATATGTCAACCTTAATTTGGGGCTTGGGGTTGAAACCCCAGCATTTCAGTCTTGTGAGGAGCAGCTGACGGAACTGGGGTTGTTTAGTCTAGAGAAAAGGAGGTTCAGGAGAGACCTTATTGCTCTTTACAACTGCCTGAAAGGAGACTGTAGCAAGGTAGGTGCCAGTCTCTTTTCCCAAGTAGCAAGTGATAGGATGAAAGGAAATGGCCTCGAGTTGTGCTAGGGGAGGTTTAGATTGGATATCAGGAAAAATTTCTTCACATAAAGGGTTGTCAAGCATTGGAACAGGCTGCCCAGGGAAGTGGTTGAGTCACCATCCCTGGAGGTATTTAAAAGACTGGTAGATGTGGCACTTAGGGACATGGTTTAGTGGTGGGCTTGGCAATGTTAGGTTAATGGTTGGACTCGATGATTTTAGGGGTTTTTTTTCCAACCTATTTGATGATTCCATTTCATCAGGGAATGCCAAATCCCAGCAGGCTGACAGCCAATGTATACTTGCTCTAACAGCCTGGTCCCCATTTCAGTCAGTGGAAATATCACCTTCACTACAGTGAGAGCAGGATTTTACCCCTACACCTGCGAGAAGTATTGAGCAAAGACACCACTCACCTGGTGTGAATGTAGCTGTTCAGAGTGAGCTGGGCTTCATCTTGAAGGGCTGCTATGGCAGCAGCATTTCGGAAACTCCTCAGTTCGGAACCACTGTGTGTAGGCACTGGAAAGCATATCAGTTACTAGTTCAGCTTGACTCTTGTATGGGTCAAAACAGTTCAGCTACTGCTATCAATGGAAATTAAACATCCCCAGCACTCCACTGTCAGCTTTTCAAAATACAACACTGACTATTGGAATTCAATTCCAGGAAACCTGTTGGATGATACAAAACTCTGTCTGGTTCAAAACATCATTTTTGCTTTAAAGTAGCAACCTCATAGTTATCAGGCAAGACAAACAAGATATTCTTTCTGCTTACCAGCTTTAAAAGTGACAATGCATTTGAGACAGGCAAATTCGGTAGCATCTAGCCGAAGTTGTCTAAATCTAGCCACAACCTCCTGTAAAGCCTGTATTTCTGAAATAATTTTATTCAGCTTCTGAGAATCTGTATTGTCACCATTCATGCCTAAAACAGAAACAGATGAAATAAATAATATTAAAGGCATTTGCTTTATTTTATATTGATTTCTGACAAAATCCTCTGTATCAATATCCACTCTATTGTCACACTTGTCTATCTGGTTCCATGTAAACTGACTATATTGTATGAAAGTTAATATAAAATCTTCTCTTGGATGATAACAAACACAGTAATTTGCATTTAAATGACAATGCAAGCAGTCATGAATACAACAAAACAACATTATTTGCATTTAAATATAGATTTATAAATGACAGGTATGCTCTATTGTTCAGTAGGAATTTGTTATTCTTTACATGTTGTTCTTTTTTTCAGTAATGTATTTTTATGGTAATTTTTCTAACAAAGTCATTAAATTGTGCAATTCTTACCAGATACAGCCAGTAGAGTGTTAGCATCAACTGGAATGGCCCATTGTGCTATTCCTAGAACAAACAGTTCTCTCCAAGCATCTTCCAAAAGCATCAGCTGTCATACAATAGATGTACAATATAACATAGTGTATAATTTATAGATTTATAAACAATTTAAATATGTAAATTTCTGTTATTTTAAAAACTACTTTAAATGCCTGTCATGGTATTTTCCCCACAGCATTTGTTAGCTCTTCTCTTAGCTTTTTGAGAAGGTGTCTAGAAATAAGTCTATGCATTCTAGAAAAGCACTGAGGGTTGACTCACTGCGCACCATGTTGTGGACCAAAAGGGAGGAGAAAGAGAAAGGAGAGTGAGAACTCCTACCCCGGAGAGCTTGTTCACCACAGGAACACTCGCCTGTTTCTCAGCACAGGGGGGGTTCTCTCTTCCTCTCTCTCTGCACATAGAGCTGTTTTAGGACAAGTTGGATGAGTGCTCTCCTATTGCTCTCTAGGGATTACCATCCTTTCCCTCGGGAAGGCAGGATTTCTGAAGAAAAGCCTGGACAATGTCCTGAAGCTACATCACTCTGTAGGGAGTGCTGCTTTAGAGCACATGTGTATCTTTAACTCCTTCCTTACTAAGCAAGTCTTTAGCTTTTCCAAGCACAGCATCTGGACACACATATGGTTTCTCAGTGTCAACTGTTTTCCTGCTTTTTGCTTAAAATGACTCCGAAATTCCAGGCACTAAGATCTGTTTCAGAGAACTGAGTATCCAAGCACCTACGCTGACAGCATTACTAGTTCTCTGCAATTTTTGTATGTTGCCTGGTTGTATGGAGGATGCATTTTTCTGTTTGGAGGCAATGCCTTTGATTTCCGTGGAGAGGCAGTGGTGCATCTGAAGAGGAAACAAGACTCCTGGTAATGCAGACTAGCAAAGCCAGAACAGACATGTCTAGTGTGGAGGGCATCTATGGACTGTTGGCCCAGACCAACTCTTAAGAGAGGGTTTGGTGGGACCCCAGTTCAGCTGAAGTTCAGGCCCTAAAGGAGATGCTGTGATGTGCACCCATTGCTGGGACCTCATGTCTCTCAGTAGAGTGTGAGAGATTTGGAGAGGTGGGAACTGTAGTGGACTCAGGAGGTATCATCTGGTGGCTCCATGCAGTGAAAACAGATTGCCCAAAAAAACATGCAGCAAAACCCACCAAACCACAAGCGTTAATACTGCTATGATCCATGAAAGCATCAGCAGCTTAGCTTCTTAGGAAAATAGGAAGGAGGGTATTTTAAATCTATAAAGAGTCTGTAAGGAAGAACAAAGCAAAAAAATGTGCTGTATCACGTGAATTATTATTTCCCTGGAATCAGATATGTGAAAGTAATAGATGATACAGAAAGCATACAGTAAAACTGAATCCTTTATCTGTCTGCTAACTCTTAACAGTATTATGAGTTTTAAACTACCCTGTTCTGGTCAGAATGGGAGGAAGCACTCTCTGAGCCTCTGCTCTCAGCTTGGCCCTGCAGGCTTATGCCCATTTTGTGCCTTTTTGTGCCATATGCTTTGCAGAACTTCTACAAGGAGATCCTAAGGAAATTCTGACAGAAAAGTATTTCTGTCTCTGTTTGCATACAATTACTGTTTGAAATAATTAAACTGGATTTTATAGTACTGGAAGCTGCCCAGGTTATTGTATGAAATGAGGGAGGGGGGGTGTCTAGGGTGCAGTGCCTGTCTCAGCTCTGTTCTGAGAGCTGCTGAACCTGCTCGTAAGTCTCCGAACTGCTGCAGCCTGTGAACCCAGCCCCTCCTCCAGATAATCCTGCCTGATGGATGTGCAGGTTTCTTTATGACATAGGAAATGATTCGCCAGCCTTTCATTTGCTTTTGTAAAACTTTTTTTGTAATTCATTCATGCAGATACAATGGTAATGAGTGGTGGTTCCTGGATGATATCTATTTCATATGTTCTTTCCCACTAAGTCTTTAAAGTCAGAAGACTTTAGAAATAAGAGACTATTCCAATAGCTGAATCTTTCTTCATGCCTATGCATAAGTCTGTAAAACCACCAATTAAAATAATTCATGATGAAGTCATGCTCAGCCCTCCTTCTTCAAAGAAACAAGAAATACCAGGCTTTCTGAAGGACTGGTTTTTGCTTCTTAATCAACCCCATCCTGTAAGTACAACCTTTTGTTGGTGACCTACATTGGATCAACCTGTCTTACAGACAAGCTGGGCTAGTGTGCAGGCCAGCAGAACTTGAAGCATGGCATTTCTGTTGTGTGGCTTCCAATCCACAGTGGGATTAGCTGTATGGAGCTGGGGAAGGGACACAGCCTCTGTTTTGCTGAGGCTAGCGATACAGCAATCCTCAGACTTGTGTTTTGTCAGCAAATTAGTTTCTACTTATTTCCTTGCCTTCGAGATGAAACTGTCACAGAGTCCTGGAATCACAATGCACTTGCCTTTTCAGAAGACCACAAACAAAAGCAAAATCCAGGAAGAGGTTTTAGACTCTCCTCAGGCAGATGTCAGGGATACGAAAAGAAAGAGAAATGCAGACATTTACAGCCAGGCCATTGTCAAATTACATAATGCAAAGGCACTATTATAAAAATGAACTGTCTGATTATTTATGAAATAAAGTGATGAAAATCAGAGTTATTTATTCTCCGGCTCTCCTGTATATGACAGGGGAATCATGCAGAGAGAGGCCCAGGTCCAAGCTTTAGAACTGAGCATCTGTCTTTTGAGGAAGCTGGTTTGCAGTGAGGTACAGCAACTCAAGGTGATGTTAAGGAAAGGCTGGGATTTTAATATGTAATTAACTAACATCAGTCCCTGATGTGAAAGTGAAAGATGCAGTGGATTGTTTAAGGATAATGGGAACACTCTGTTATCTATGAGAGATAAGCAGGCCTTGCTGTTTGAGACATGGTTAGTCAAGTGCAGTGGAGACTTCCCTTGCTCCCAGATCCTGCTGACTCCATCTCTGCACACTAACAGAGATGACCTTGTGGGAAATGCATTGGTCTTATGTCAAAAAAAGCTTTCACCTAAGGAATGTCCTGTGAGCATCACTGGTCTTGAGATGGACCCAGCCTCTTCCCATGCGCTGAGGCTGCTGCTGAAGTGGCGTGCTCGCTGCTTATCCTTGATATTTGGGCCTGTTTCTTTGGTTGCTTGATATGACAGACCCAGTGCTCCACAGAAGTAGCGGCAGCAGAAGACTGGGCACTAGAGAGGGGCATGCTTGCACTGGGACTGCTGTCTTTCTAACAGACTGCTGTCTTCCTCTCACACCCTATCTCATTGCTCCCCTCACACTCACTGCGTAGCAGTACTGCAGCCAGAGCTGAGCAGCATCCCCCTTTGTCTAATTTCACAGCAAGGATTTGAAAACATGAGTCTGGTGCTAGAAAAGGAACATTTCAATGTACCTTAGCTTTATATCACATTGTGACCATCATGATTTACCCTTAGCTAGAAAACACTATCAGTTTCCTAAGAAGCTCTTTTCTTTCAGTTCACAATATGTATTTGCATATCAACTGCAACACTTGCAACATGCATCCATGGAAAGGAACTAGTTCCTCTGATGACTGCTACGTAACATCTAAGGCACAACGTTTCTAGTTACCATTTGGGGAAATTAGCTCAATCATATCAAAGTATTAGATGTCTTTTATGATTGGAGCTTTGCATAGATTTCCTCCCTTCCATTTTATAATTATCTGATTAGTTGGGGTTGGTTTTATTATTTTTTTTTTTAAATTAGTTGCATTATACAAAGCACACTGAGTCCTCATCAAGAATCAAGTCATTAAGAAATTGCTTCAGCTCGTATGGTTCACATATGATTTACTTGAGGCAAAGGCAAATTGTCATAGAGGAAAACAAGACAAATTAGGGTAGATTTTAATTAATGGTGAAAAATATTGGGGGTTGGCCAAATTCTGCTTCCACCATGTTGATGTAATTGTAAGTTCACTTAAGTCAATATGAATAAAGAAATAATGTTGGCTGTCTAAATTTACACAGATGAGGAGAGGAGAGGAGAGGAGAGGAGAGGAGAGGAGAGGAGAGGAGAGGAGAGGAGAGGAGAGGAGAGGAGAGGAGAGGAGAGGAGAGGAGAGGAGAGGAGAGGAGAGGAGAGGAGAGGAGAGGAGAGGAGAGGAGAGGAGAGGAGAGGAGAGGAGAGGAGAGGAGAGGAGAGGAGAGGAGAGGAGAGGAGAGGAGAGGAGAGGAGAGGAGAGGAGAGGAGAGGAGAGGAGAGGAGAGGAGAGGAGAGGAGAGGAGAGGAGAGGAGAGGAGAGGAGAGGAGAGGAGAGGAGAGGAGAGGAGAGGAGAGGAGAGGAGAGGAGAGGAGAGGAGAGGAGAGGAGAGGAGAGGAGAGGAGAGGAGAGGAGAGGAGAGGAGAGGAGAGGAGAGGAGAGGAGAGGAGAGGAGAGGAGAGGAGAGGAGAGGAGAGGAGAGGAGAGGAGAGGAGAGGAGAGGAGAGGAGAGGAGAGGAGAGGAGAGGAGAGGAGAGGAGAGGAGAGGAGAGGAGAGGAGAGGAGAGGAGAGGAGAGGAGAGGAGAGGAGAGGAGAGGAGAGGAGAGGAGAGGAGAGAATGGTCTTCAGAAATCACCACAGTCATATAGGCTATATGCTTAACTAAGCACTTCTCATCCCAAAACAGCAAGGTAAGATGCTGTTCCCTGTTTTATGGAGGGAAAGTTGTCCCACAGGCAGACAAACAGTTTGGGCATGCTGAGCTTGGTCTGCAGCCTGGTGACTTTTCCTCTAGAACTCATCCTCCACTTTATATTAGATCTTTTTTCTGGCTTGATTTTCACTTGCTTAGTGAAATAAAAGTTGCAGGAAAGCAGTCTTTAAATCAATGCCTGTTTTTTGGGGACAGACCAAAACTCTGCACTGAACTTCAGAACTGCTGAAGTCCATTATGGATTTAAAGGTCTAGAGCTGAAGGCTTCAGGACCCAGTCTGAGCTCTGAGCCTTCTTTAACAGTCAGGCCAGGCTGATGCCACTCCCACTGCAGGTGCCTTACCTGGTCTTGTAAAGACAAGGTGGAGAAGGCTGGGACACTCTTGGCCCACTTGATGCTCATGAACAGAAGTCTGGCTGCAGACTCACAGACGGATTCGGTGGCCACTTCATAGAGATACATAGGGGTACCGTTGACTTCATGTGGGTACTAATGTCAAAAAGAAAATAAAGCAACTTCATACAATGTCACCAAGGCAGCCTCGTCTTCCTCTCCCCTACAGCCACCATTCAGTGCATCATGTCCATACCAAATATAGAGTGTGCTCTTTTATTCTGCAAGCAGAGGGCATTGCTTTCAGTGGGCTCACTCCAAATTGCTCTCTGCTGCTCATCCGTGTGGATGAACGGAACTACTGAAACCATTCTCCACATGAAGTTGGAGAGGGAATGAAATTATTACATCAGGGGAAAAATATTACCAAAATGCAGTGTCATCCTTTAACCCGTTACACAATAGCACAGCTCTGGTAGCAGAATTAGAAGAATACAAATTTGATTAAGAATTTGTGGTTTGTAACCTGTGCTTCAGAAGCTGATTTAGCGCTCCAGCATTGCTCAGCAAAGCAATAAGTGCTCACTTAGCCTTAACCTTCATCTAGCTCCCCGATCACAATAGGCAGTAAGCAGATGCGTAGAGCTAAGCATAACTACCTAAAGGGTATGCAGGATTGGAATGGAGTTATGTTTTCAAGCATGTACTATGTTTTCTTGCTAAATCATTTCTGATTCAGTATTTTCCAAAATTAAAATATAAAACTGTATGTTGTGATTGTGTTCATGATGGATTCTCCCAAGCTACCAACTCTAGAAATAGAGAACTATTTAAGTTGTCTCTTCTTTGATCTTCTAGGTGCTGTAAATATGCAAAATGTCACTGAAAACAGGTTAATGAAAAACATCACGATAATTCCTGTGCAGTTGAGGCCACAGCAGTGCATTAACTGGGCTGCTCAGAAAATGTCACAGCCAAGAAGCACAAAGCCAGCTTAGACATGTTAGTGTCCATGTGGACAAGCTGCAGGCTTTGGTCAGTACAGACAGTACTTTCTGAACTACACCCCTACTGATGGGCATTTTGCTGAAGAAAACTCGGTGATTGCAGCTCATCCTCATGAAACAAGCTTTAAAATTACTTGTGAATGGGCTCCAGGCAGGAGGAGTACCTCTGCAACCATGAGGGTTAAGGATGTAGGAGAGACGGGGTTTGTGCAGAGCAGGTTATCAGTCAGTCCTTCTGCCTATCCCTTCTGCAGAGGGCCTCTTGCCCCTTGCTTCTCGGATCTTCAGAGCTTTCAGGGGCATAGCAAAAGAGTCCCCACCACCACCCGCAAGGCCTCGAGCCTTCCTCTTTGCCACCTCTACCCCAGAGGCGGGGAGGAGCTGGTGGTTGCAGGCACCCCAGCGGCGAGGTCTGCAGGCCCACGGGGGGCCGGGGCAGCGGCTGACCTTTGGGGTAGGCTGTGCCAGGCCCACCAGAGCCTGCCTCTCGGGGGTGCCGGCGACGGCGGCCAGCTCCAGGCCGTGGGGCTCCAGCTGGGAGACGGCGGTGAAGAAGGCGGGTGCTGGCAGGGCAGTGGCGGGGAAGTGCGGGGCACCGCCGCTCTCCTCCTTGTGCCCGCGGAAGTAGAGGGCCACCTGCTTCCGTATTGTCGACGTCCGGGGGCCCCGCTCGTGCTGCACCGCTGCGGGGCACCAAGGAGAGGCCAGGGGGTCACCGCGGGGCCCCGCCACGGGTACCCCACGCTGCTCCGCTGGGCTTCCCTCCCTCCCTCCACGCGTTTTTTTTAGGGCCGGCCCCGTGCCTCCCGCCCAAGCGAACGCCTCGGGAGAAATGAGCCGGGCTGCCGCGGGATGGGGGGGTCATTAGGGGCCCCGGGGGTGGGGACCCCGCTGTGACACACTGCTCCCGGTTCAGAGCAAGGCCCGGGCCACCCTGCCGCCCCGGCCCTGGGAAAGGGGGAGCAGGTACCGTC